CCTACCTAAGTATTACCCATTTCGTTAATTCAATTTTGAATGTAAAGAATATTTTGAATACGCAAGGAAAATTAAAAAAAAATCGTAATAATATATAAATATTTTCCATGCAATAATTAGTAGTACAATTTATCTTTTAATAAAAAAAGCGAAATATTTGGAATATACGAATGCTTATTAAGCAAAATATACAGTATTTAAAGCAAAACGAATGAATAAATAATACTAATAATAAGAGTAAACAAACAAAACCCAATTTCAAACTGACCAAAACATTACCTAAATAGTAAAATTTCAAATTTCAAAAAGCTACCACATTTCAAACGCAACGTTTTGAAAAAAGCTCTCAAGAAGTAATTCCAAAACATTTTCCCACAAAAGATATAATAATTGTACCCTTATATTTCCGATCACAAGACAACAATGAGACAAGGGCAGTTTTAAATGAAATGGATATTCAAATGAAATGCCTGCTCGTGCTTTAGGAAATGCTCTTTGCTGTCTACCAATGCTCCAAAATGTACAGCGATATAACAAAGAAACAATAAAGAAAAAAATAAAAACATACGTAGAGAGGAATGTCGACTTTCACAAAAAAAAACAACAAACAACACAAGCCGCTGGCTGCTTTGCATACAGGGTACAATATCAAACAAAAAAAAATAAAATAAAAACAATAAGATATGAGGGGGCAACCTCGAAGTGGTGAGGCAGCGCCGGGATACAGACCTCTGGATGTGGTCTTGTATGAACCACGGCGCCCAAGGGTCTGATTGGCACTGTTGCAGGGCGAAACACCCCTGCTGTCGTCAGGAGAATCTGAAATAAACCGACATCGTGCTACACTCTCTTAAACACCGGATGATAACGTTTTTCACATAAAATCTACTCGTTTTTATAACATGACAACGCTTATTCATGACTTATACTTCATGAGACTGAGCAGTCAAACAATTTACCTATTTTAAAATAAGACGTTGTCACGTTTTAATAACATCTCACAAACAAACGGATGTTTTGCTCGATTGTTCCATACTGGATATAATTGACAAAAGAGGGTTAATAAAATAATAAACAATAACAGATGCGTGCTGAACATTTAGTCTGCTACTTGTGAGAAAGCGTAGAAAAACTTCACATAACAAAATAAATACAAAGAGGAAATTGCAAGAAAGACGAAGGTTCACATAATTTAAGGATATCAGTTCGTGAATCTATTTTTTAAACCGAAATTTTCGTATGTAAATTATATTCCACAAAAAGGGAACAAAAACTGAGAAATAACGTACTGCTAAAAAATTTCATTTGCAGTTAGTAAACATGGATTAAATTATAGAAATTACCAAAGAATTTTGTAAAACACACCTCTGTATAATAAACTATTCCCGACACGTCCAGCATCTGCTAAACTGTCCTGAGATCCCCTGTAGTAATCCCGTTTGATTGGGGTAGTAGAGGAATAATGGTTTGCTAAATTAAAGAAAAAGAAAAAACGAAACTAATAAAAATACAAAGCGACACACAAACTAAATAAATTAACGAAAAGTTTGTACAGTTAAAAGTAACGTTTTACTCCCAGATAAAAACAATTTACTAGTGAGCAAAATAATAATAGATACAAAAATAAAGACCAAGTTTTTAATATATGCTCTACTAAAAACACTGAAGACAAAAATAAATAATAAAAAATGTAACATGCAATGCGCAACGTTTTGAGTAGATTGAAGGGCTATTACCTGTAAGGTTCGAACTTGACCCCTTTTTACCCCTGCTTGGCTGGAGCATGCCTTCCGCCATTTCAACAGACCCGCTGTCTATGTGTATCGTTTTTGGACGAGGTCTCGTTACAGACCCTTTAGGTCTCATTTTGGGAGTTGGTTTGAGAGACGATAACTCCGACCTGTCCAGCACTTTTCCCTGTAATGAAGTAAATTAATAAACCTTACAGAAAAAAGTTTTCAAAAATTAAATTGCTGTGAATACTTTATGTTAGTCACATGCTAGTAATGATAACATTTATATAAAATTGAGTAAAAAAAGTCAAAATTGAATTTTTTATTCACACGTTTGGTTAACTTTACTTAACTTTGGGTAAATCAAAATTACAATTGTAGCATTAATTGTTCTTTAAAGTAAATATAATATTTCAAATCAAATTTAATTGCGAATTTATCATAAATCCATTAATATCTATTTTTCAAACATTAATTATTCATGATAAATTAAAATAAAAATTCAAACATGTAAACATAAATACATACCACAGACCAATAAATAAACGACATGTTGTTAAACATAAAACAAATGTGTAACGACAGCAGAAATTATGAAAATCAAACAACGAGGTGGCTCGAGAGATATCAAACACCAAGTGTGAATGGACCGGATAAACATAACACGTCTATGCAAGGTGGATTTGAAAGGCGCCTAAAAATGTCCCGAGATCAACGACCGCGAATAATATAATCCTCAACAAAAGGAAAAAGTGGACTGAAGAACTTGAGGGAAGAATAATTAAAAGCCGGCGATCTATAAATACAAAGTGAGAAACGCTGAAACGGAAAACGCACTTTTTCGTTGCTATAAATAGCACACACGGTGGCAAGGAATTGAAGTGCAACAAACATGACACAAATTCATGCAAACGACTTGCAAAACGATGTTAAGTTTTTGTTAGTTTGTTTGTTTTTAAATTATCTACGTGGCTAATAACAGAAACAAATAGTAGCAATAAAATACATTACACAAAATTTAATTTAAAATACACTCACCTCCCTTTCAGCTTCTTCTATCGCTTTCTTCAATTTATACTGTTCTAATATAGCTGCCCTTCTGGCCGCTTGTTCTTCCTTTTTCCTTTGTCGTTCTTCTTCTTTGGCCTTTTCTCGTTCCCTCCTGGCTTCCGCTTCTGCTTCTTTCCTTGCTTTTGCTTCCTCTTGTTGCTGTCGTCTCTGAAGGGACATTAACATTATTCTTTCCTTCTTCTTCTCCTTTTCGTCCATAACGTCCTAACACATAAAATTATTATTAATAAAATTCCTTGTTTTGATTTTGCAAAATGAGCTTTCCCTGAAATTGTAATAAAAACACATAAAATGTTACGTATAAAAGTAGCAAAAAAAAAAATACTAACAGGATCAGGATTACTAAGTTCATTCCCTATTATTATGGCAGATGCAGCGGTGACCTTTTGCTTTTCTTGACTAGTTTCGCGTCTTTCCCGTTGCCTCTCTTTCTCCATTTGCTCTTGTTTTTGCCTCTCGTATTCCCGATCGTCCCGTTTCATTCTTTCTAAAGCCAGTTCTCTTTCTAAACTCTTTTGCCTCTCTTGTCTGGTCTCTTCCTGAAATTATAAAATTTTCATTCCAAGTTTCATGAAGTGGTAAATCCCTTACGTGATGGTGTTCGACATTTTGTCTAGTAAAACTGACAACGTCGTCAGGGTTTTCGTTGAAGCTCTTCTTCGGTGAGCCTTTTCGGCCCCTAAGTGGCGGTTTGGGCCTTTTGGGTTGTTCGTTGTCAAAACTAATGTAAAAACCTTTTTCGTTGGTCGGATCCTTATCGAGACTAGTGATTTCGGCGGCTAACGGCGGTGATTCTTTTTCTACAGAAGATCGATCAACCGATTGGCCAGTTTGAAAAGCACGCGTTACAAGCGGTCGCGTAGGGGACGGTATTCGATACGTCCTAGTTCCGGACGTAATATTTAACTTACTAATGCCTAGACACAAGAAATATTTACGTTGCAATTGTTACTAAATGCTAATAGAAAATAACGTATCATAATTGATATACTTACCTTCGCTAATTGGATCACCACCGCTTCCAATGAAAGATATATTCTGAGGTTCCATGTCGTCTGCAGGTGGCGCCGGGATCGGTGCATGAGTAATGCTACTCTTCCTTAGCTCCCTGTTATCCATTTGATGCAAACTAACTGGGGTGGAAGTCGCCGAAAGAACGGACCGTTTTCCTTCGTCCATTAATTGCGATATTTGTTTATGAATGTTACGGTGTTGTGGCGATGCGGACGGTGACCCCCTGATAAGATGCTGCTGTGCCATGTGCTGCTGGCTTAGAGTGAAACCAGGGTGACTGTTGCTACGATTGAGAGGATACTCTTCGCCATTCTGTTGATATTTTGGCGCCTGGTCTCGCTGGTGATATTTCGGAGACGAAACCACATTTTGAAAACGACTGTTGTCCACAAACCTACTGTATATTATAAATACTTTTTTGTTATCAACGACAGAAAAAAATGACCTATTTGGAATACGTTTAATGTAAATAATTTCTCGTTAGTTTTCAATATTCCTTAACAGACCATTAAAAAAATTAGGGCTGTTTCAAAATTCTGTAAATAACATCAACATTTTTTTAGGTATTCTTTTTAAAGCTGGTTCTCGTTCATCAATAAAACTAATAATAGCAAAACTTTAATTACATTAGGACTTCGGACCCATGCTTTATAAGCGGGTAAGAAAACATAAGGACAATTTCTTGCACAAGGGAAACAATTTTGGAAACTTTTCTTTTCAAACTGACAATTTCAAACTTTTGACACTTTGAAACAACACATTTACAACAAAAAAGTTACTTGCACCGATATTTAATGGATTAAACATTGTTATAGCAACAAACAATCAAAAGTTTGTAGCATGAAAAATAGAAACACCAACCTTGAGTCATTTGGAGGAACATCGTGCAAAACGAACGAATTCGGATTTTGAGGTTTGTTCCACGTTCTCATTTCAGGTTGTTCAGGCAGGAAGGGAACATGTTCTGCAGAGGGTGGTGGTGTGGCCCATGTTCTTCGCTGTGGCGTGGGTTGCGGAGTGGGTGTTGTCATCATGGGTTGATCGTGCAAATAAAAATGAGGCTCTTGCTGTTGAATATTTGGACTAGGGGCGCTTTTTTGCGCATAAATGGCCTGAGGAATGTGCGGAGCGCTGGAATACGACTGCAGGGGATGATTGTATATTGCACCTGTAACAAGAAAAATTGAAATCTACAAATTTTCGAACTGAAAAATGTGTGTGATATTCATTGGATAATATGTTTATAAAATTGTAGTATAAGCGTTAAAACATATTAAGAGATGCCTCTAAATGAGATACAAACCAGTTGTAGCTTTCGTCTATCTTAGCGAAGCACAAAACGTATGAGCAAAACGTAATTTTAACGCTGAATTGAAACTTTACCTTGAGGGGTAAATTGTTGCGTAGTATATGTAGGTACATATTGTGAAACAGGGGGTTGTTGATAATTGGAAACAGGCGGATAATTTTGCATCTGTTGAGAGTAGACTTGTTGCTGGGCAGCTTGGATTTGGTTTTGTTGTGATGATAATCGTTGAATGTCCACCTGTATATTCTGAAGACTAGAATTCATTCTGAAATGGAAAACGAAAAGAAATGTATCAATGTTTTTTGGGTAGGCTGTAATAGATTTCAACGTACTGAGCTATTGATTGTTGATACTGCTCTAAATCCATATTTTCGATATCAGGCGTCCTTCGGGTTTCAACGAACGGCTGATCCTGGTTAAGCCACTTCTTTTCGACGTTGACCACATCATCGTTAATTTCCTAAAATTAAAACATTGAAATACACAAAAAATATACATAATATTCTGTACTCCGTTTATAAAAAATATTTGGACATTCATCAATCATTAACAGTTTTTATTTTTCAAGTTATGTTAAAATATACGACAAAATTACAGCAAAAAGAAAAAACGTTTGTAAACCACCCATTCATACATAAAGCCTAAGAACTTCTACCAACATTTTTGCCTAAAGTAATTTATTTTTCATAATCCTTCCTCAATCTACTTACAGCAATACTTGTTAGTTAATTTGTTATAAAACGAGTGCAATCAAGAACTATCGTCTATGTTAGTATACGTTAGTTAAGAGTGATAATATCTCAACTTTAAACAGAAAAGTACCTGTAACGTTAAAGGTCTCTGTGGTTTAGAAACTGTATCAGTAGAGGGACTTCGAGGTTCGGAACCACCAGGAGAGTTAGGTTCGGTGGTATCATTTGAACTTTTAAGAATGTTACCTTTGCCCTGAAATTTGTTAGGCACACAATAAGAACCTCCACCAATACTTAACCAACTGAAAGACATCTATCAGATAAATAAGAACTGTGCAAAATTTTCTACGCGACTAACTTCTCAATGTAATCATGTGTTTGAATGATCAATGAACTGATATTCTACAAAACCTGCTATGTATATGCGAGTGTATGAATAGGAATGCAGAGTGCATCTAAGCAACTATTACGATAAAAGCTGTTCGAGTAATTCTAATGTCAGCACTTTTACTTTTGAACTATGGGAAGCATTTTAATTTCAAAAATGATACCCTACAATTACAGTTTTCTATTTAATTTGCAGATTACTGAGTAAAGAATTGATTTAAATGACAATGGTTGCAATTTTTGTTAGTGATTTTAGTGCATTGAACATAGAAGTTTACCAAAATAAAACTAATCNAAACGAACACATGCAAAACAATGCACATTAACAACAAACAATGTAATAAAATATATCAATTTATAATTACGACTTTGAAAAATATAAATTCCTTGAAACGAGTGTCTTACCATTTCGGTAAGCTGTAAGTGAAAAATAAGAAAATCAAAAAAGAAATTTGAAGAAGCAAATGTCAGTCCTGTTATTTACAAAATTTCAAGTTATTACATTTTTAGTTAATAGGTGTATAAGTGAGAAGAAATTTGCACAAATAAAGTGTACAACCTTAAGCTGTGTGTGTAATATGTTAAGTTTGTACGAAAATTTGTTGGTATTATGTTTTATAAAATAAATCATTTAAAAGCGCAATTTTTAATACAGAGTGTCTCACGAAATAGTATCCTATGAAAACAGGGAGGCAGAGAACATATCAGAAACGTGTAATACTTTGGGAAGTTTTAAATTCCCTTAAGATTACCCAAATTTCTGCTTTTTCTTGGCACTATTTCTTGAGACATCTGTGTGTGTCTAGCATTTTACTAAAAATTATAATTACCACTTTGACATAAATTTAGTTTGATACAATGGAAGATCAATTTCACACATCTGATTTACCTTTGTGACTTGATAAGTTTGTGCTACGATATTTAGAAACTTACAAAAGCAACACTTCCTAACAATCAAAATACACACCGACAAAAGCATCATTTTGGGGATTTTCGAATTTGTACTTACCTTGGTGACGGCCTGTAGAAACGCTGCCTTGCCAACCTTCTGCCTCTGCTTATTCATGATCACTTCCATCCTCCTCTTTTCGCTCTCAATGTGTCGTCGTTTCTCTTCCAATTTCATTTTGATGTCGTTTAATTGAGATGACATTACATTACTTCCGCTACCATTTTCGTTGGTTCCATTATTTTCGCCGCTATTTTGAGGATTTATCGAGCTCTGTTGTTGCCAAGTAGTTGTGTTTGGCAATGTTGCGAATGTTGTAGTCTTTTTTTCGCTTGGAGCACCGTTCGTTGTCGCTTCTTTCTCTTGCTGTTGTTGCATATACACTAGTTGTATAGCTCTACTTTCTCCTCCCCCTGTTATCAAGTCTTTTTTTAGATCGGCAAAACTAAGTCGGTTTTTGATCTCGCCATCAACTATATCGTTGGTGAAACCATCCTTGATACTCTCCTTGCTGCCACTGTTATTGTTTAGTTTGCCGAAAGAGGACGGTATAGCACCAGCGCTATACTGGCGACGCAATTGCGGTTTTTCGTGGTCTTCATCCGATTTTTCACAGCCATTGTCGTAACCGAACTGAATAGAACTACGGTTGTCTTTCACCGACGAACGCACCGCCGGATTTTCGATGAATGCCGGCGCAGAAATCTTACGACCTACATGTACAGCTACCTGTAATTATACAAAACAACTATAGTACTTTAAATACCAATATAACGCGGTCGCATTTGTGAGGGGAGACCTTTTGTACCCCATTCACAATACAATTAAGCGTTTCCACCCAACTGCTTAATGTCTCTTAAAAAGCTCATATGTTGATTTATCTAAAACCATCTTTAAAAAAGGTTTTCATTGAACTGTAGACACTATGTTAAAAAACCCAAATAAACTTAGTAATAATCACCCTAAAGTGGAGTTCAATCCACCATAAGATGGTACTTATCTACCTACAGACTATTCTATGTAGGGACTTTGATTGTCTCCTTTATTAAAATCATCTACTGTATTAGAGAAAAGGTTAAGTCAATTTATTGTTCGTTGCTCGAGAAATCTATGCAACATGAATAAAGAGGATGTATGTTTGGTTGCATACTGTCGATTGAACTGACCCCTTTTTCATTGTAAATGTATGAAAATAATATCGAATGCCCCCTTTCGTTGAAATGCATATTATTTACAAACATTAGCCGTTTAACAGTACCTCCACGATATTATAAAAATAATTTTTTTTACCTCTTTATCAGGATTTTTTCCAATGAAATTAATGTTGTCTTGGCTGCCTCCAAAATTTTCAATTGTTAACTGGGATTCTTCGGAAACACTACTTCTCCGGGACCTTCTGCCCCCATAACTAATTTTTCTACTGTCCTCCCAATTACTAGGTCGTCCAGCAGCTACTGTCTCTCCCCGCTCTTCGGCCTTGCTGTCATGGTTTTGCTTTTCTTTGCTACTTTTGAGTCGCGCTGGCACCAGAGGTTCGTCGTTTATAACGGAACTCAACGTTGGTATATTTTTACTCCTATGAACGACAAATGAATCCTCGGAGCCTCTTCGCAGACTGTCTTCGCTCATTTCAGACATGCTTTGCTGAAATGAATTTGTTTTGCGAAGAGGCATGTGCGTTGGAGTTGTTTTCATCACTACAAGATAGGAAAAGTGAAAGTTACTTATATAAATATAAATAAATAAATATACACCGACCGATTATATTATCAAACAATAAGTGTCAAAAAAACAAAAATAAAATGCAAAAACTCTAATGAGTGTTTGTTTATGTTATGCTACTAAAAGGACGCTAAGTTCATATTGCATGGAAAACGCAAACAAAATAATCATTAATTACTGATTAAATTCATTTAAGTAAGTGTATGCGGAATGCACTACACTATTTCTTATGTATTTACAAAATATTAATAAATTGATGAGTTTTTTCTCCTTGCATATTATAATAATGAAATAATTAACCATTTTTAATAACAACACCAAGTAGCAATGCAGACAAAAATAGTTATGTTAATATTTTACATTATTATTAATACATGCAAGAATTAAGTTATTTAATGTAAGTAAAATAAGTATATGGGTTTCAACATACCATGCACAAAAGGGGTAGTAACTAAATAAAGTTACTTAGGTTTAGCAACCAATAATTAAACAGCAATGTAATTCTAAAAGAAATTAAACCTATAGGTAAATGGTTTCAGTAATTAATTGATTTAAAAAAAAAATTAAATACAGTGGTCGAGAAAGTAATATAGAATATACAGTTTGTAGGTAGACACACATAAAACCATCTGCAACAAAAATACAAATTTAAACCAAGGCAAACTGGGCACGTACAACAAAATATGTAAAATCTGTAAATAATTTACAAAAATAACTAAAAGGCCAGAAAAGTAGTGATTATAAGATTACTTATAACAAGAAATTAAAGTGGCAATCAGTAAATTAAAAAAACAAGTATATAACTTTCTATTATTATAATTACTACTTTCCTATTAAAATAAACTCTCATTTTTCTCTTGCAACCACATTAAACAGAAACAGAATAGCGGTGAAATGATCCTAACAAATGTTTTGTTTTTGTTGTCTTTTTGTATCTCTATTTTCTACCAGCCCGAGATGATGAATTTCGGAATTTACCTTGGAAAGCGCTGGAAGCAGAAGAATCATCTAGACCACTGCGCAAATCCGGGATGGGGGACATCACGGAATGCAGCAGATTTCGCTTATGTACCACCCCGTGCGCATTGCGCGCCGGAAAACCCTCTACAACCGCAACCACACAAGCATGTCATCAAAAAGGGGATTAACCAAATTATTTCTTTTTTTGTGTATAGGTATTTCCTATATATTATTTACAATCTGAGGGCTTTATTGCCCACGAATAATTTTTTAATTTGTTTCTTTAACAATTATTTTAGAACATGAGTAAAAACCTATTTTATTTGTTACAAGTTTCATGTTCATCATGATGTATTTACTGAGAAAATTGATTTCATTTGCAGACTTTAGTAATTTTAGTTATTTATAAGAAACGTTCTATCTACCAATCTATCATAAATTATATGAATAGTGTACAAACAAAATTAATAAAGAAAATCTAAACCAAACCAAATAAAAATAAGTCAGCTAGAGAAGCGAAAATATCAATCAAGAAAATTAATCTTACCGATAACGTACTGCCACCACATTGTTTCAAACTTTTCTATAAAAAGCAAAAGAAAGACAAAAAAGCAAAAGTAAGCACTGTAGTAGTAACGGTGGGTAATGTGAGTCTTACAAGAAGGAAGCCGGTGGTTATTTCGATATTGACCGACACTATATGCAAATTAAGGAATAACCGTACAGGTCGGTATTCAACATTTTTCAGAGTACCTACGCAGTCTGAGAAAAAGTACCAATAAAATAAAATAATAAAGAAAAATTATACCTCGCTTGGGGGCAACATGTTGCCAATAAATTTGAGTAGTATGGCTATAATCGAAAATCGAGCAATTTATTTTACCAATGCTTCTTAAAGTGTTTTCCACTAATAATTATAAATTAATTTTACCTACTCTAACAGCAACATACACAAATAATTATTGTTTTGTACATATCTACGACACAATACCTTTCAAATTACATGTGTTTTATTCCCCTCCTTTTATAATGAATACCGAAAAAATGTATCAGAAGTTTCGATGTTTATTTCCCACATTCTTGTTCAATAATTGAAAGTTTTAGTCAAAACAAAAAAATTAAAATTTCAGAAACGGTTTGGTTTTATTGCAATTATTATTAGCAGCATACTAAAAAGTATTAATTCAGATTTTGCATTGCAAACAATTTTGACAAAGACTGTGGACTGCTAAAGAGTAAATCAATACAGAAGTGGTGAGGTGAATAGCCTTATTAATTCGCCAAATTAGAAAACAATTTCTTTATTAAAGTGAACACCGGTTGTAATAAAGAAACCCCAATTTTTACAATTTCTTGCACGTAATTTCTGAATTAAAAGATAAGACATAAGGCTTTATATGATTGTAATTATATATTCGTTTTGAGAATAACGTAAAAATGAAAGTACAACAAAACACTTAGGTGCAAACAAACATAATAAGAAAAATGTTAGCATAAACAAACATAAAAAGCATAATGTAATAATAAATCGTTTGACCGGTCTAAATTTCGTGTTTTATGGGTAGTTCTTTTATATATATATGCACTAAGATCAAATACGTTTATTTACATTCACTTACCATTCGATGATGTTTTATCCATTTCCGGATAGCGAACACACTTTGCAGGATTTATTTCCAAAAGATTGAATAGATCGGCAAGAAAAACTACTAAATTCTGTTTCATCGACCTACGAAAAATAAGAATGTCTTTAATACTGCTGCCAGCGCAAATAAAAAGCATAGTCATTTAAATTTCACAGACAACAACTTCAGATGTCTACTAAAACTACTAAGTCAATATTTTCTTTTACGATAAAATAATGGCATAAAAAAGGAACTTTTAAATATAGGATAGCTTAAGTTTGAGGGTCAAAGGGGAGTTAGGGACGGCGTTACATAAGATGGAATATTGTGGAGTATTAAACAAATATGGGTAACTTTTGGATTAATCACACAAGTGTGTACACATAGAGAAATCTAATTATTTCTTACCCTCTCATGTATGTAACGTCTTCGGGCACCATGTGAAAAATTGAAGCGGGCAAACACCTTTGGCAGAAACTTTGAACAAGACCTATGTTGTGCAGACTTTCGGAAACTGTCGGTAGATATGACACGCGAATTTTGCTCCATGGAAGTTCGTCGGGGCAATAGAATGAGATCAGAGCTGCTAAAGCTACGCCATCACAGAGGTCCTTGAAGTCTTGAACTTTAGGAAATTCGGGAGAATGTAACCTGTCGCCCTGTCAAACAAAAAAAAAAACAATCAAACAACTTTCCAAAGGAGGAATTGATACTGATATCATTTATAAATCAGTTTCAGCGTACTTTGGAATCTAGTTTCGATTTATATTGTGGTATTTCTGCTTGTTCCTTTTTAATCGAATAAGCCAATCTAAATATTACACACAAAAGAAATTAATAGTGCTATCAGCGCAGGGCAAAGTTGTATTACGTGGTTAGTATCAGCAATTTTTTATGTTGAAGTGTACGATGTGTTGCATACCTATTTACAAAAATAAGATTCTATTACCTCTCCTCCACCATTGGGCATATTGGATTCAGTCTCCTGTTCAATCCGTTTTTTGAGTGCTTCGCATCCGTGGGTGATCCACAAAAGCAGACCCTGTTCGTAGTTCTCCGGCGAGGACGTTTTTCTTTGATTGAACCTCTGCACAGCTGCCAGGACTCTGTCAGGACTCACAACCTCTTTAGCGTACAATAACATGATGGCCTCTATTACGGCCATATGAGCACTCTGAAAAGTAAATACTTTAATAAGAATAAAAATCATGAATTTTATAATTATTTCTACAAAAAAAAGCCATAAAAATTCCATACAACTTTTGGAAAATACTTCAACGAACAGAAATTTACAAAAGTTCTTTAACGAATAATTGTTTTACCATTCTGAGCGGGTTTGTTTGTATAAGGGTAGTCTCCGTGAGCTGAGCGCCATCCGAGGGTTCTTCGACATAAATCCCTTTGCGTGCCAATGTTTGTAGTATCGACCAATGATTTAGATTGTGATAGTTTGGATCCGAATATATGTTACCTAAAGCGTTACAATAAAGTTCTGCATTAGCCAGAGAGAGTACTATTTGAGGTTTGAGATGCTCCTGGCTCTGCAACAAAAAAAAAAAGAAAAATACTTTAACGTTCTTGCGTATCCATTTGTAAACTAGTTAATTCCTTTGAACAATTATAAGCATTCAATATGATAATTAGAAACTCCGGCTTAGAGAGAATCAGTCCGTTCCTTCTCTTTCCACTTTTTAAGTCCTTTGTTACGCCGATAATCAATAGCATTTAAATATTGAAAATATTTAATAATGACGAACATTTCGGGTAAGTACTTTGCATTTACCGTAGTACAGTAATGTGCGTAACTATTCGGTTTCTCTTTTTTTCAGACTATAAAGCCTTTAGCAAAATGTATCTTTCGAAAGTAAATAATTTTCTCTCCGCATATTTAAATATTAAACATTGAACTTTCAATAAACTGCGCCCATATCCACAAACACATTTTGTTATAAGACAATTATGATCAATGAATTTTAAATTCGGAATTAACAAGTAACAAAGGAACTCAAAAATAAGAACAAGAAATTAAAATTAATTCGTAAATTAGTACCTATAACTAATAACAACTTAATTAAAACAGCAGTTTTATTTTTATAATTTGATTCGACTCACCATTTTTAATTAAGCAGGTACTAAAATTTGAATTTTAAAGTATTTACTGTAGGACATGGAAAACATTTACAAGTAACTAACGATACATAAGCGTAAGAGTAGATAGAAACAAATTAACTTGAAATACAAAACTTGAATCAATGCAGAGTTTGATGCAAAATAGATATGTCTACATAGTAAAAGAATTACATTCGCATATTTAATTAAATTAAGCTTCTTGTGGGGTCAACGTCACCACCTCAACCTGCAGGAAAACAACTATAGAAACAAATTTACTGTAAATGGGATTGAGCAGCAACACTCTTTTACAAAATGCCCTATAGAGACTGATATGGCCCTGATGTGGATACACTGTCTAAACCACACAGGGTAGTCCTGTCCAGACCAAGTCTGGCTGCCTGATTAGTCCCAAATTAGATAGAAGATAGAAATTTCAAAAACAAGAATCTTATTCCTTCAATATATGTGCATTACATTTCATTTGAATTTACATCGGTTGTAAATAGGTTTTTCTCGTGCAGCATAAAATAGTTTAAAACAAGAAATGCATCCGGCGCAGTGAGACTCAATGCGAGACCCACTCGCTGAAAATAAGCGACGATGTTAAAATTAGCTGAAGAACATTATTTTAGTTTAATTTTATTTTCGTTTCTCACAGCTTATAATACTAAACAACAAAACCGTAGACGGCAGATAACGTTCGCACCTTTATTATCATCTTTTTAAACTTGTTGTAATGCAAGAAAAATCTTTATTTTATTAAGGGTAGCACACTGTTCTAAAGTCGTAGTCAATTTAACAATACAAAATCGACTAACGTCAAAAATAAACAACTATCCCTGACAGGAAATTTTTTTCCAATGCATACTTAATCGGTGCTCCTCATTTAATTAAATAACGGTTAATTAGGCATTTAAATCCCTTACATGCGTGACAGAACAAGGTCTTCTAATTACTGTAGTGCAATAAAAGTAAACATGACATCCCATGATGACCTATTTATGATGTAACGTACATTTATTATGTATAGCTATTATCTGTGACTTTGTCTAAGTAAAATAAATACAATTGTGGCTCACATCAGTCTTAAGAGTTCAGGTAGGATATCCATAATAGAGCAAGATCAGACTTCATAGATAATACCGTTAATGGATGAAATGGGGCATATCCACATCAGGGCCATATCAGTCTTAATACGAGGATACCCGCAATAGAACAAGATCAGGTTTAGTAGAGCATACCGTTAAAGGGCCACATCAGTCTTAATGGGGCATAGGAAATCCAGATTAGAGCAAGATCAAGCTTAACATATCATACCGTTAAAGGATTGAAATAGAGTATATCCACATCAGGGCCATATCAGTCTTAATACGAGGATATGCACATTAGAGCAAGATCAGTTTTAGTAGAACATATCGTTAAAAGATTGATGTAGGCAATCCATATCGGGGCCACATCAGTCTTAATAGCAGGGTATCCATATTAGGGAAAGATTTGGTTTAGTAGAGCAAACCGTCAAAGAATTGAAGTAGAGTATCCATATCAGGGTCACAAAAGTCATAATGGGGCATACCGTAAGAATTCAGGTAGGAAATCCAGATTAGAGCAAGATCAAGCTTAACATATCATACCGTTAAAGGATTGAAATAGAGTATATCCACATCAGGGCCATATCAGTTTTAATACGAGGATATGCACATTAGAGCAAGATCAGTTTTAGTAGAACATATCGTTAAAAAATTGATGTAGGCAATCCATATCGGGGCCACATCAGTCTTAATAGCAGGGTATCCATATTAGGGAAAGATTTGGTTTAGTAAAGCAAACCGTCAAAGAATTGAAGTAGAGTATCCGTATCAGGGTCACAAAAGTCATAATGGGGCATACCGTAAGAATTCAGGTAGGAAATCCAGATTAAAGCAAGATCAAGCTTAACATATCATACCGTTAAAGGATTGAAATAGAGTATATCCACATCAGGGCCATATCAGTTTTAATACGAGGATATCTACATTAGAGCAAGATCAGGTTTAGTAGAGGATACCGTCAATGGATTGAAGTAGGCAATCCATATCAGGGTCACGTCAGTCTTAATAGTAGGGTATCCGTATTAGGGAAAGATTTGGTTTAGTAGAGTAAACCGTCAAAGAATTGAAGTAGAGTATCCATATCAGGGCCACAAAAGTCATAATGGGGCATACCGTAAGAATTCAGGTAGGAAATCCAGATTAGAGTAAGATCAGGTTTAATAGGTCACACCGTTAATGAATTGAAGTAAGCCATCCACATCAGGGCCACATCCGTCTTGACGGAGCATATCGTAAATGAGTTTAGATAGGATATGCATATTAGAACAAGATCAGGTTTAGTAGAGCATATCGTTAAAGGGCCACATCAGTCTTAATGGGGCATACCGTAAAAGTTCAGGTAGGATATCCACATTAGAGCAAGATCAGGCTTAATATGTCATATCGCTAAAGGATTGAAACAGAGTATATCCACATCAGGGCCATATGAGTCTTAATACGAGGATATGCACATTAGAGCAGGATTAGGTTTAGTAGAACATATCGTTAAAAGATTGATGTAGGCAATCCATATCGGGGCCACATCAGTCTTAATAGCAGGGTATCCATATTAGGGAAAGATTTGGTTTAGTAGAGTAAACCGTCAAAGAATTGAAGCAGAGTATCTATATCAGAGTCACAAAAGTCATAATGGGGCATACCGTAAGAATTCAGGTAGGAAATCCAGATTAGAGCAAGATCAGGTTTAATAGGTCACACCGTTAATGAATTGAAGTAAGCCATCCACATCAGGGCCACATCCGTCTTGACGGAGCATATCGTAAATGAGTTTAGATAGGATATGTACATTAGAACAAGATCAGGTTTAGTGGGGCATATCGTTAAAGGATTGAAGTAGGGTATCCATATCAGTCTTAGTAGGGAATGTCGTAAGAGTTTAGTCAGGAAATCTACATTCGATGAAGATCAGGCTTTATAGGGGGTACCGTTAAAGGACTGAAATGAGGTATATCGTGAAGTGATGTTTTGTTTGATCGAAACTAACTGCCTGTTAAGAAGCAGGCAACTAGCTGTGTCAAACAATTTTTATTATACCCTGTTTAAAATAGAACAAACGCAATATTTGTTAGCGTAATATTCTGCGGTTAACAGGGGAATATGTAAAATTCGATTCTCTTCAATTTTATAAAATTAGTAGTAGTTTCTACGAACCTAATTAAACATTACCCAACATCAAGTATTTTTAGCACCTGTTACTAAAGAAACAAAAATCTGAATATTACACAATAGAGATAATTTTTTGTTTCACTTAATCTTTTACTCGACAGAGTGACTGTCATCAAACGAAAATTCATTAGTGGTTTTTGTTTTAATTAAGTGATTTAAAAGGAATAGTAAAAACATCTGTGTATATCGTTACAGTCATGGATTGTGTAATAACAGGTGAAACGATGTTTTACAATTTTTCACGATTACTATTCGCTGTTAATCACTTTTTAAAAAAATACCTTGCTGTTTGGATTTAATGAAGACTTTTACGTTAATTAGGCCAATCTTAAAAAACACTAAAAGACACGAATGTAATATTTTGAAAAGAAGACCATACCATTAGTTGTTTTATAAAACTTGGAAACTACTTTTTTATACCATATTTGATACTTTTAAAAACAACTTAGGCACATCGAAAGAAGACAATGAGTAAATGAACTAACGATAAAAATAAAAAAAAAATTAATAAATGTTACAGAAGAGAAAAAAAAATATTTTATTACTATTGGTCTCTGCCTCAACTGCACACTGATAAAAATGGTCTTTCACGTATGCTGGAGCACAATACCGAACCAACTAGTTAATAAATAATGAATTCTGGCCGTATCTCATACAACTTTAATAAGTAATATCAAATAAAACGGAGACGTTCTAATAAGTCATTATGTGAAAAGTGTGCGGTTCGAAGTCCAGAAATAATTGATGCGTTTCGCTTCCGCTACAATGTCTTCTTCTTCGTTGAAAACGGCAGTAAAACCGAACTAAGAAACCGTTATAGCTGATATTTACTTAAACAACTAACATAACACTTTTGTTCAACTTATTCTTTGCACGGTACACTTACTAATTAATTGAAAAATATAGATACTTAATTCTACGGTTTCTAGTTTTGTAATACATCAACATTTTACCTTTACACTTCACCAATAGCTTACAAAGTTCTTAAAATTAAAATGGCGGTTGGCGTCCATCATACTGATTGCTTCCTAACCCTAACTGGATATATTTCATTTATTAAAATCATTAAACTGATTAACTCTAATGCTCACTTGTATCGGTCTAATATTTTCTAATCTTACCTCATGATCCTTGTAAAAAGGCTCCTTAAGATTTTCAGGAACTTTGTTATTAAATGCTTTCGATAAAAGCCATTTTACGGACGCACGTTGTTTTGCCTGAAACAGAAATGAAAGTAAAATAGTTAAAGGGTTGAAATAGGGTATCGACGTCAAACAAAATAAACCTTTGTAACAAAAAACCGTGAAATGAGAGGTACCTATAAATAATAAGCGGTATAAGCCTGTCGTCACTCATTACCCATTCAAGTACATGAACATTTACCACATTTAACCACGACAAGACAGTAGGAGAGCGTTTCAATTACATGTATGACAAGTGGCTTTCGTCCTGACACATTTTCTCGCACACTTCTACGCTCGTCTTCCCTTTCATCGTTAATTGTTAATGTGTAAACAGGCAAATTATTAATGTTGAACAACTTGTTCTTTTTTTTAAATCCTCTTTAGACAACAATATTGCCAGAGTTGTGGTTTGTTTTCTTCAATTAGCTACAAAACTTTGTCGCGAACGAGTATAAGAAATAAAAGACTTATTATTTCAGCAACCACTAATTAACTATTCATAAGCGATCGATGTTTATTACGTTGCCTCTAATGTGGAATTGGAAATCAACTTAGTCTTGACCGAATTTGCTATTTAATTAATTGGACTACGTAAAAAAATTCGCTTAAAGGCAAGCAGGTATAAAAGTTATGTTTTCCTCTACAAAAAGTATTGAATTCGGGCAATTGTTGTTAACAAAATTTGTTGTATTGCTGATGCACAACATAGCTTACATCAAAATAGTTCATTTTTTAATAAATCCATACATTAATTAAAAGCGGTCGAAATAGTACGCGAGCGCCTTAGTAATACACTAAATCTGACTACAGATGTCGCAGGAGTCTATTTATTTGAGGCATAAGGCAAATAAGCTGTCAATATGTTGAATAATTTAAAGAACTACTAGTATTCCAAATTTTAAATTGTTTTGCAGCAGGAGTCTTACGTTGAAAACGTTACCTACTGTATATTATGCAGTTACATATATCTGCATAATAGATAGTAGAAAACAAGAGCTTTTACTAATTATCTACGGCTCGGAATAAGCTCCGGAATGTGTCTACCGACCTAGCAGTTCGCCAATGCGGAAATGACAACTAAGTCGGCGATGACTGCGGCCAAACAGACACTTGTATGAAGTAGTCGCCAAGTCAACAAATAAAAACGAAAACAATGAAACCAACGGTCAAAGTCTGCGTCTTCGTTTAAACATGTTCCATTTTCCGCGGAAATGAAAGAAATCAGGATACGACCAAACTGCTTCGGTCAATTCCCTTCGACGTCATTTTTTTTGGTTAAATTCTTCAACAGACTGACAACTTAAGTATCTAATTTATGTTTGATACCTTTCTGGTATTTACAGCAGTAATTATTATTTAATCTGCCGCGACATCTGTGATCAAATTTACTACAGTACTAAGGCGCTCAGGGTACTACGAAATTGGCCGATGTGGACTTCTACTGATGATATTTACATGGCTCATAGTAGTACGTATTGGTAGAAGGCACCATAATAAAGAAATTCAACATTAATACAGAAATTAAATTTAATAATGAAATATTTTAATGGAAGCTATGTTTAAGACACTAAGAAAAAGATTATCTATACGATGGGACCAAATTTATATAGATTTAACTGTAAGATTTTTGCTGAAATGGGATAAACACATTCGAGTTCTTATTTAAATATCACAACGATATTATTATTAAGTAGGGGAACCTTAAATCGGTTCAAACATTCTCCTGCTTCAAGTAAATCTATAATCAATATATGCTGCATTTCTTTTACGATTGGAACTTGACCCAGGTGAATTTGCTATTAAATTTTAACGTAACAGGTGCAATAAACCTTACGTTAAAACAATAAAAAGAGCAAACAACAAAGCGTCGTAAAAATGTAAGATTTGAAAGCTTTTGCACCAACAAACAAACATAAGTAATAGGCACATAGGCAGATATAACACACTGACTCATTAAAATTATAACGTATAAAACGAAATGTCTATTTCATGTGCGAATGATAATGGTAATGGACTAGGTAATGGTAATCTTTCATTATTTATCATTTACATTCATCACGCTGACGCTGCCCACCGACTACTACGGTATTCTGCGACTGATGACGTTATTTTAGTCATCACCAATTTTGGCGTTTCGCGATTATGTAATGCAATAATAATAACAACGACATTCTGAACCAAACTGGTCCTGTTTCTTCACGTAGCGTAGGTAAGAAAAACGAAAATGAAACAAATTTCAAATGGCTTCAAGTAATATTTAACAACAACAAAAGCAAAAACATAATTTCATTTTTAACTTTTTCAACCAAATCATATGCCTTGAATAGGGCTAAATTATGTATATATAAAATTTTTCAGAACAACTTTCAAATTCATGACGATCATGAAAAGGAGACATCAAAAAACTATTTCAAACTTTGATAAAGCTGTCACAGGATCAAGCTACATGACATTAATAATAACATTAATAGGGCATGTCGTAAAATGGTCAAAAGAGGACATCCCTGTCCTAACAAATTTCCGGTAGGATTGGTCTTAGTCAAGCAAAGAGAGACAAGTCAAAACTGTAAGACCAAATAGGTACGTAATTAATCGACCAAAGATCAAACCGACTGGCCCGGTTGGTTTCTGAAATCAACGGACTTGAACATCCCGACCGTTGCACCGCGCGAAGATCTGACCGTTGCACCGCGCGTAGTCCGACCGTTGCACCGCGCACAGTCCGACCGTTGCACCGCGCGAAGATCCGACCGTTGCACCGCGCACAGTCCGACCGTTGCACCGCGCGAAGATCCGACCGTTGCACCGCGCACAGTCCGACCGTTGCACCGCGCAAAGTTTCGACCGTTGCACCGCGCAATGAATCGGTAGGTCGGCTGCGTCCGACGAAAGTACATTATTCAAATAGTTTATAAAAATCCTATTATATTATTTAATAGCAAATGGTTGAAGTACCTATNAAATTATAGCCTTTATAATATTTTCTCTACACTATTCTTATTCCGAGATAACACTATGTGCAGTGGCCCACTAGCGGTTTTCCAGTCGTTTTTCGCTGGGTAGCTAGAGGATTGACTGGCGACAAAGTGGGTAAAGGTATCAACCTTCAACAACAAATTATAGCCTTTATAATATTTTCTCTACACTATTCTTATTCCGAGATAACACTATGTGCAGTGGCCCACTAGCGGTTTTCCAGTCGTTTTTCGCTGGGTAGCTAGAGGATTGACTGGCGACAAAGTGGGTAAAGGTATCAACCTTCAACAACAAATTATAGCCTTTATAATATTTTCTCTACACTATTCTTATTCCGAGATAACACTATGTGCAGTGGCCCACTAGCGGTTTTCCAGTCGTTTTTCGCTGGGTAGCTAGAGGATTGACTGGCGACAAAGTGGGTAAAGGTATCAACCTTCAACAACAAATTATAGCCTTTATAATATTTTCTCTACACTATTCTTATTCCGAGATAACACTATGTGCAGTGGCCCACTAGCGGTTTTCCAGTCGTTTTTCGCTGGGTAGCTAGAGGATTGACTGGCGACAAAGTGGGTAAAGGTATCAACCTTCAACAACAAATTATAGCCTTTATAATATTTTCTCTACACTATTCTTATTCCGAGATAACACTATGTGCAGTGGCCCACTAGCGGTTTTCCAGTCGTTTTTCGCTGGGTAGCTAGAGGATTGACTGGCGACAAAGTGGGTAAAGGTATCAACCTTCAACAACAAATTATAGCCTTTATAATATTTTCTCTACACTATTCTTATTCCGAGATAACACTATGTGCAGTGGCCCACTAGCGGTTTTCCAGTCGTTTTTCGCTGGGTAGCTAGAGGATTGACTGGCGACAAAGTGGGTAAAGGTATCAACCTTCAACAACAAATTATAGCCTTTATAATATTTTCTCTACACTATTCTTATTCCGAGATAACACTATGTGCAGTGGCCCACTAGCGGTTTTCCAGTCGTTTTTCGCTGGGTAGCTAGAGGATTGACTGGCGACAAAGTGGGTAAAGGTATCAACCTTCAACAACAAATTATAGCCTTTATAATATTTTCTCTACACTATTCTTATTCCGAGATAACACTATGTGCAGTGGCCCACTAGCGGTTTTCCAGTCGTTTTTCGCTGGGTAGCTAGAGGATTGACTGGCGACAAAGTGGGTAAAGGTATCAACCTTCAACAACAAATTATAGCCTTTATAATATTTTCTCTACACTATTCTTATTCCGAGATAACACTATGTGCAGTGGCCCACTAGCGGTTTTCCAGTCGTTTTTCGCTGGGTAGCTAGAGGATTGGTACCTATTATTAATTTATGAAAGTAATTTTCTTCTTTTCTATGTGTTTACTTTCCGGACATGTTACAGTTGGCCACAGGGCACAGTTAACGCGTGGACTCGGCATGTTCTTAATAAATTCAATTGTCTATAATGATAAATGGTTAATAATTATAATGGAGCGATCGCAATAGGTTTGCAAACATCCGTTACGGCCTCAGGATAACGCAGCATACTTAAGTACACGTTTAGTTTCGAAAACTTATATTTTTGTAATACAACAAGTCTCGTAACTCGCATGTTTCCTTAATTGTTTTACACTGAACAAAAACAAAACAGGTTAATGGACAATTATATAGTCAAAATGGTAATGCCTACGTTGAAATACAAAATTAACAAAACAATAGAACATCAAAAATACAAGATTACACTCATATACGTAGACATAAGGCTACACACAGTGGTTTTTTGGATAAACAATGCTTTAAATTGTCAAAAAATATCAAATGTTCAATGAAATTGGATTTGAAAGTTACATTCATCAACCTATTTTTTTTATGTACATGAATAATTAAAATAAAATTATCAGAGGCGTTTGCGGAGGAAGCAAGCCTGTGCTTCTTGGGCTATACAAGTTGCTACACATGGGCGTAATTGGCCAACATCATATAAATATTTATAAGATGTCATTTTGCTCAACATATTACCTATCAATGCTCTTACCTATAGACTTTAAATAAGTGGGCACTGCAACATTTCGTACAA